TGGGGGGTTGTCAGAGACAAAAAAAGTATCCACAATTTGTGACATGGAGTTTGTGGAGAATGGATTTGTCCCCATATGGACCTTTTTGTTATGTGTAGTTGCTCTTGATGCTTGTTTGAGATCTCCAAGACCTTATCCTTTGCTAGGTAAGTGGTGCTGGTGTATTACAGGGTGAAGAAATATATTATATATTTCTTAGGGATATTTTAGCAGAGCTCTAACTGGGCATGTGTTCTTAAAAAACTGAAGCCTTATTCAGTTCCTTACCTCCTTCCTTTCAAGAATGCACAATTAGCAGACTCTTAAGCTAAATCTGTCCCCAGGGGGTATTTTTCTCCAAAAAAAATGAGAATAGTATTTTAAGTATATGTAAAAATATAAACACAAATTCTCTGATTTTATTATGTATTATTTTTTAATAATTGTATACTATAATATATGACAGGAGTGCTTAGAAAATGGTATATTAAAGTATAATACTATAGATACATTGTGCTATATATCTCCCTATAAGAAGAAGAAGAAGAAGAAGGGGGTATTTCTTCTCTTCTGCTCTTCACTTAATAACTTTAAATAGCATTTGAAGTACAGTATATATGAAAACATAAATACAAATTCTAAGATGCTCTAATGTCTAAATTTAAATAGTGAACAAAATTATATAAGGGGCAGGAGTGCTTAGGAAATATATATTGCATACTGCACATATATTTATATATTCTCTATTTACCTGCCATTTTCTCTATAATGTAATACATTTTATTGAATTGCTCTGAGTAAGGCCCTGTTCACAAAGGCTTTAGCACAAAGCATTAGCCTAAAGATCATCATGTACAGCAAGAATTTACAAAGCATTTGTGAAACCCTTAATCTGCCCTCCTCATCTTTACTGTGACTTGAAAGAGAACCAGTCATGGTTGGGTCTATGCAATAATAGACTAAGAATTTGAATATGGTTGGGTTTAGTCTTAAATTATTTAATGCTTCCTGAGTCACTGACCTGGAAAAAGTATGCAGATCGGGAGTTTTAATTTCACTTTGACTTCGATTGCTCCTTTTTTCTTCCAGGTCAATGATTCCAAAAGTATTGAAGGATTAGCCAGGCATCCAGATTTTAAAAAGGTCAGCAATTGCAGTTCCTGTTTTTCTCTCTTTCTCTCAGAAACGGCAATAGTGAAACAAATCCACTTTTTTATTTGAAGAAATAGTGATTTTATCTTTAAGTGGGAGTGCTGATCATCCTTTGGACAATTGTATTCGGCATTGGAGCACACTGAGCATGCACCATATTAAAGAGAAAGACAAGCTTATTTATGGTGAGCCAGTTGAATCAGTTCCACCAGGAGCTAGGTGTACCAAATTGGACCATGCTTTATAAGGGTTTTTTACCTTTGGATTACCTGTGGGTTTAGAGTTCTGTGGGTTCTGGTACTTTTTTGAATAACTTTGTTTTTAGGAAAAGTGCATACAAAACCATCATGTTCCACAGAAAAGCAATATAAGAAGAAATACAAAGAGATATGAGTTCTTATATTCATATCCACAATTCCTCATTCTGTCTAACTCTAGTACAGTGGTTTCCAAACTGTGGCCCACGGGCAGGATGTGGCCCTATGATTGCCGTTATCTGGCCCCTGGGGCTTGTTTCCATTCACTGACACCAATGATGTATCACCATTCTTCCCATTGACACCAGTGATGGTGCACCATTCTTTCCACTGACACCAGTGATGGGGGCTTCTTTCCTCCCACTGACTCCAATGATAGAGAAAGATTCCTCCCACTGGTACCAACAATGGGGCACTATTCCTCCAACTAAAACTAATGATGGAGCGCTATTCCTCCCAGTAAAACCAATGATGAGACATTGTTTACTCCCACTGCCTACAATCTGGCCCCTCTAAAGTCTGAAGAACAGTAAACCCTTTGTTTAGAAAGGTTGGAGAACCCTGCTGTAGTGAGACCATCTACACATAAAGTCATAAACTTATTGTTATAGAACAATAAAGAGGTTTAAACAGGAGGACTGGTCAATCCTATGTTCATGAGCCAGTAAGACTATAAGACAAATTCAAAATGCCAAAAAAAGTTTATTATTTCCAAAGTAAATTCAGGTGGGCTCATCCATGAAGAAAAATGAAGGCAAGATATTTATTTGCCAACAAAGAGGGATGTAAGTAGTAAATGGCAAGTTAACATGAATAAAAGAAGGTGAATATAAGAAGGCATAGGAAAAAAAACTAAAAAGTCCAGAGGAAAGGGAGGGAAGCAGGTTTTTTAATTTACTTTTTTGATCCATTGGTTGAACTCCATGGACATGCATCTTATCAACCAGACTTACTATATAGCTATGATTGTATCTCAGAGCTCATATTTAGATTGGTGAATTGAACAGTTATAGTATATAAATAGTGAATTTAAAATAGTTTGATGTTCTTAGTGAAATCACCCCTTATGGTCACCCTTATGTCTGTCATTTTTAGTGTTTTCCCCAAAGAAGCTTTAATATTGATGATGGACTTTCTGGGTTGTTGTAGACTGAATGTAGATGGGATTGAGCACCTATTCTACCAAATATCGCAGGAAGTAGTTTTTCTTATGATCTGTTTATTATTACAATAGGTATACTAGATTTTTGATTTAAACTCTTTTTACAACTGCAATAGTAGTGTTTTAGGTCAAAGTCTTGTTTGACCAAATATCTATTCATGTATTTTGTTCCTAGGTGCTTATAAACCACAAAGCAGAAATGGTCACGACACGCTTCCATTTTATCCATCATCTCAGCTGATCTGTACACATTAATCTGTGTATTAACACTCACATTAGATTCCAAAATTTGGATATGGACAGTCATTGCCATTTTATCATCTCTGGCTGAAACGTTGGGTTTTTACAGGGGGCATCACAGCGAAAAAACTTAAGCTGAGCAGATTTTGCATTTATAGGAAAACTAGGACATGTGCTGACAGATGGTCGTGGTTTGCAAGCTATTTATCTCCTGCCCAAACTGCAGTGAAGCATTGTGGGACTTGGTGGTAGGTTTACTTAATCAAAACAGCATAAAATGTGTTTTTTATTCTTTAATTCTTTACCTTAATATCATCCAATGCATTAATAATATGTATATAAATTAAAGAAGTACATTAGACTTATGCAAAAGCAGGAAAGAGCTGTAGAAACAGATATGTATTACCTGACAATGTTACCTCCTTCTGTTAAATTTGGAGGCCAATTGATCCTTAGTAAAATGTCTGTGACCCCCCCACTAACTTCTTTATGCTGATTAACCTCACAACTTGCGCAGAGCAAAATATGAGAAGAAGAAGGAATTGTACAGAGCAGCTCAATCTCATAAACATACAAATATAATGTAAATGAAAAAATCCCATAATAAATTCCACCACAAAAAGTGTAAATCCAATGCTGCCCTCACAAAGACAACAAAAGGAATCTTCCAAATGAATGTGAAGCAAAAATGAGCAAACTAGAAACTTCCACCAATCCAACACGTGCATAAGATTGGACCCTTACCAAATGGTGCAACCACCAGTTAAGGTATGGTCAAAAAGGTTTCAAATCAATCCGTGCTTGGGGTATGCATATCCTGAATAGCATGGTTCCTCCCCACATAGCATCTCAAAAATATCGATAGAAATGGATAGAAACACTAGGGACTATCATAGTGTAGTAGGTGAAAAACTTACAATTTATTAAAAGCAAAAGCTACTTACAAAAATGATATATAGCCAGGCAGTATTTGTACAATCTTTGCAATATATTTCTTCCTTCGCTTGTGTCGTGCACAATTGCACTTCCAGGTCTCAATCAGCGTAACAACGTCACATCCCGTAGCCCCTTTCAGCGTGTTTCATCATAGTTGACATCATCATGGGGAGTGGCCACTCATTGATTTGAAGCCTTTTTGACCATACCTTAACCAGTGGTCACACCATTTGGTAAAGGTCCAATCTTAAGCATATTGGTGGCTTGGTGGAAGTGTCTAGTTTGCTAATTTTTGCTTCACATTAATTTGGAAGATTCCTTTTCTCGTCTTTGTGAGAATGGAATTGGATTTACACTTTTTATGGTGGACTTTTTATGGGAATTTTTCGTTTACATTATATTGGTTTGTTTATGAGATTGTACAGTTCTATATTATCCATGACTCGTTTACTTTAAGGCCAATTTTCAACTTTCAGTGTTGTTGCACTTACATTTATATTTCATTTTTAGAGTTTGCATCAACACACTTTGTGCTGGCCGCTATTATTTATTTTTGCACATGAGCGCAGAATTTTTTATATATATAATTGTACAGAGCAGCCCGAACTTCCTATGGGTTCCCTCTACAGCAATTGTGGGTCCTCCTCCTCTGTGTCTGCTTCCATAGCAAGCACTTGCTATGGGGACAGATATTCAGGCTTAAATGTGAGCCGGGCTGTGTGTGTCCATTGACACACATAGCATGGCTCAACCCTGCCCCCTGCTCACAGGATTTGACTGGTAGCAGCAGAAGTCAATGGCTCTTGCTGCTCTCAGCCAAGTTTGAGAGAGCGGGGAGAGAGAAGAGAAGACTGGCAGGTGGGCACAGCCGCTCCTCAATGGCGGCGTTGTGGCGTCAGCAATAGGGTGGAGCCCTATTGCTGATGCCACACTGCCATTGAGGAGCTGCTGTTTTATTAGTTTAATTACTCCACGTGGATATTTTAAATTGTTATTCGTGACCATTATAATAAAGTACTATTACACTATTAACTAGTTGCTGACCGCAGATAGCCGAATGACGGCTGCACTGCGGCCGGCCAGTTCTGGGTGGACGTCATATGACGTCCTCCCAGAACGCGCACTCCAGCGCACCCCCGGGGCACGCACCCGGCGATCTCCATGATCGCTGTGTCCTACGGACACAGATGATCACGTGATGTGGTAAAAGGCCAATCACAGCAGCCTTTTACCACGTGATCAGCCGTGTCCATTGACACGCTGATCACCGGGAAATGCAAATGCCGGTTCTCGGCTGCACTTTCCTCATGCTGTCAGATCGTGAGGAAAGTACTGCCGAAAACCGGCAGTTGTCAGAGCTGGGATCGGCACCGATCATCAGGGTCACTGATCATCAGTGCTCTGATGATCGGTGCCCAGTGGTGCCACACACAAATTCTGCCCACCTGTGCCCAGCAGTGCGCCCACCTGTGCCCAGCAGTGCGCCCACCTGTGCCCAGCAGTGCACCCACCTGTGCCCAGCAATGCACCCACCTGTGCCCAGCAGTGCGCCCACCTGTGCCACCCAGCAGTGTCACCACCTCTGCCCAGAAGTGCCACCTACCTTGTGCCCAGTAGTGCCACCCACCTGTGCCCACCAGTGCCACCCACCTGTGCCCACCACCTGTGCCCACCAGTGCCACCCACCTGTGCCCATCAGTGCAGCCCAGCAGTGCTGCCAGTCAGTGCCACCAGTCAGTGCCCAGCGGTTGTACCAGTCAGTGCCCAGCGGTGATGTCAGTCAGTGCCAACTATCAGTGCTGTCTATCAGTACCCATTATCAGTGTCACCTATCAGTACCGCATATCAGTGCCACATATCCGTGACACCTCATTAGTGCTGCCTATCAGTGTCGCCTATCCACGCCACCTCATTAGTGCTGCCTATCAGTGATGCCTATCAGTGCCCTTCAGTGCTGCCTGTCAGTGCCGCCTATCAGTGCTCATCAGTGGTGCCTCATCAACGCACATCAGTGAAGGAGAAAAATTACCTGTTTGAAAAATTTTATAATAGAAACAAAGAAACTTTTTTTTTTTTTTCAAATTTTTTTGCACTTTTTTTGCTTATAGCACAAAAAGTAAAGTGTCCAGCAGCGATTAAATACCACCAAAAGAAAGCTCTATTTGTGAGAAAAAAATGATAAAAATTTCATATGGGTACAATCTTGCATGACCGCGCAATTGTCAATCAAAGTGCGACAGCACTGAAAGCTGAAAATTGGCCTGGTAAATAAGGGGGTATATGTGCCCAGTAGGCAAGTGGTTAAACACCTTTCTGGCTCCTGTAGCTAAGCTAATTCCTCCCCAGGACCATTTTGGCACCCACCCTGATGGATGGATGGAGCTGGATGACTAACCCATAGCTGCCAGCATACCGCTGCACCCCCAGATATGTGATGTGTATAACCCATGTGCATTAATACTTTTGTTCTGGTGAGTGTACACCCGTCCCAAGGGTGGATTACCTTTCACGAGTTCATGCACTACTGTTTGTCACGGATAAACCGCATGTGCCATTCATAGGCACTCTCTGAGTTGGTACTCTCACACGAAGGACATTCCATTATTCAGGAATGATTATATGAACTTTTTTTTAGCACCATTTACCAGTTTACATCATTATTGCACTTATTTGAACTTTTTTTTACTTTACATGCGTTTATGATTGCAAACATGCATTTATAGCGCTGCACTATTACTTTAACATATTTCTATTCTGGGTCTGTTGCCAATACCCTGAGTGCTAGCTGCTACCTTCATATCTATACCTAGATTTATATTTATCTTGTGTAATACCATTCTAGTAGTCTATATAAATTTACCAGTGCTTGCTTTATCATTATTTTTAAGCAAAACATTTTCACTTTAATGCCGGGAATGCATTAAGTAAAAAATGATTTTACCTTGAGAACAAATTTAAATTGAGCATGTGCTCTGCCCTTGTTGTAGGTTCACCTAGTTTTCCATTCCCTGCAACCTATACTAACCCTCCTGTCACTCCCTCACTGCTTTATGCTCTTGGCATAGTAATATGAAATCCTTGGTACTTCTGGATATGTGGGAGCACATCACTCTTTCCCCTACCTCCCACAATGGAGAATGGGGAGGGCAATTAAGTGAACTAGTTTATGTGCCCTGCATGGATAAAACTAAGAGGCTAAATCAATACTCTAGCATACCTATAGCAGTTGGAGATAGTTAATATTAGATCTAAGATCACACTGGGGCAATGTTCTGTGCTAGGATACAACTAAGTATACAGAAATGACAGCTACTTGAAGGCCCATGAGATCTAAGATCCCGAACACAAACCAGTATTCCGCCTTCCTTCATATCTTCTTATCAATTCATTGCCTGCTGTTTGAGCTTTGCAGTAGCCTCATTGAGTTTACTAAAAATGAAAGATTTTTGTAGAAATAATGATTTCACAGTTTGTACCTATGGTTCTTAGCTACACCTCTGATTACTTAGACAGTTTAAATGCAAATCGTTCATAGTGGATGTGCGCTAATCCTTAGAAGCTGTTAAAGTCCTGGGGGGGATTCTATCATACAATCATACAATGTAATGGTTATCAGAAAGTTAAAACTCTCTTATTACTGAGGCTGGTATGATTAAAACAGAAATTACTATTATCATTTTTATTATTAGGGTGTGGAACAGCAATTGTTCAGTGTTTGCCCCTACCTTGATGATGCAAGGTCTGTGCCCACTGCCATTATTACATCACCACTGCTGTTGTGCTTCCAGACCCGCTGTATTCCTTTGGCCATTGGGTGGTCTATGCTAATGTAACTCCTGGATATGTGAACTTTCTAGACAAACTCTCTTCCAGCAGTAAAAAAAAAATCTACCTGCTAGCAATGTTTTTTTTTTAACCTTAGTTCTGCTTTAACCACTTGCCTACCGCACACTTTGAACCCCTTCCTGCCCAGGCCAATTTTCAGCTTTCAGTGCTATTACACTTTGAATGAAAATTGAGCGGTCATGCAACACTGTACCCAAACCAAATTTTATCATTTTTTTGAGACAAATAGAGCTTTCTTTTGGTGGTATTTAATCACCACTGGGATTGTTATGTTTGCTAAACAAATTAAAACAGACCAAACATTTTAGAAATACATTTTTTTTCTTAGTTTCTGTTATGTTTTGTAAATAAGTGATTTTTCTCCTTCACTAATGTGCACTGATGAGGCTGCACTGATGTGCACTGATGAGGCTGCACTGATGGGCACTGATGAGGCTGCACTGATGGGCATTGATGAGGAGGCACTGATGAGGCTGCACCGATATGTGGCACTGATAGACAATGATAGGCAGTACAGAAGGGTGTTGACAGCCAGCACTGATGGGTGTTGACAGCCAGGACTGATGGGCACCGATAGCCAGCACTGATTGGTACTGATAGCTAGCACTGATGGGCATTGATAGCCAGCACTCTGATACAAAGCACTGATAATCACTGATGGGCACTGATGCAAAGCGCTGATGGGCACTATTAGCCACACTGATGGGGCTATACTGATCATCAGGGCACTGATCACTGTAGATGTCCCCTCTGAGAAATCCGCTTACCGGCTCTCCTGTCAGCGTGAGGAATGGACTGCTGACATTTCCTATTTACACTGTGATTGGACACAGCTGATCACAAGGAAAAAGGCGGCTCCGATCGGGATTTTACTTTGACAGATCAGCTGTGTGTGAAGGATACAATGATCACAGCTTGCGCATGGTGCGTGCCCCAGAGGGCGCAAGGGATATGTGGTCCTGGGAGGATGTCCATGGACGCCCGCCCAGAACTAGCCAACTGCGCTATAGTACGGGCAGAAACTGGTTAATGAACATTTCCAATATACTTCCCTTCCTAATCAATGACACCACAAAGTTTCAAATTCACTCCCTGGTCATTTCTGAAACTCCCCCCCTCACTGACTTACTTTTACATAGGCTATCCTCTCTTCAGTCCATCATGAATGCTTCTGCCAGACTCATCCTCCTTATCAACTATTCAATGCCTTCCACCCCTCTCTGCCGATCTCTTCACTGGTTTCTGCTCACCCAACAGATTAAATTAAAAAGACAAGAACTTTCAAAGCCATCCACAACTCGGCCTCTAGTTACGTCATTAACCTAATCTCAAAATACCAATCAAATTGTTCTCTTAGTTCTTGCCGAGACCTCTTGCTCTCTCTATCTATCTTGTTACCTCCTTCCATGCTCACCTCCAAGACTTCTGCAGAGCCTCTCCCATCCTCTGGAACGCCTTACCCCAATCACTCTATCTCCTGCTCTGTTCATTCTTAGGCAATCCCTGAAAATTCTTCTCTTCAGAAAAGCTAATCCTTCCTCCACCTAGCAACTGTAATTTTGTTTCCACATTAGCTCATCCCCCACAGTTATTACTTTTTGTATTACTTGACCCTCCCTTTTAGATTGTAAGCTCTAACAAGCAGGGCTCTCTGATTCCCCATCTAATAAATTGTATTGCAACTTTACTGTCTGCCCTCTTGTTGTAAAAAGCTGTGTAAACCATTGGCACTATAAAAATCCTGTATCATAATAATAATAATTGGGAGAAAATGAAGTTTAGGTATGTCTATTTTTTTGCATAGTAAACATTGGTCCTGCCAGTCCCATCACTGCAAGTCATTGTAGTAGTCGCTGCTCGAGGAATACAAGGCGCTCTCCCACTGGACAAGGTGAAGAATGTGACATCTCCATGCTGCCTCTCCTCCTTGTCCAATCAGAAAATTCTGTGTATATTTTGAAAAGAGTGACCTCCTGTGGTTACTACACAGAATTTCAGCCACTCCTCACTGGACCTCGAAGACTGCTGCTATTACTGTAGTAATTGTGACTAATACAGTGATTGGCAGCTTACACGGGGATCTGTCAGGTATATATGTGTAGACACATTGGTCAGTTGTAACAATGCAATAAAATACATATCTAAACTTCAGCTTCAGTGTTCAACATTATTCAACCTGAAAGACAGGGAGCTTTATTGTGAATGAGGGTGTCAAGGACCTATCCTCTAAATAGGGTAGCCTTCATTCCCTTCATTGAAATTCCTATCTGGTATGCTAGCTGGCCGGCAGAAATAATCCAGAAGTAAAAAGATCTAAAAGGATCTGAGAGATGTCTTCTTTCATATAACACCAGAGAACTTTGTAGCCTAGCAAGTCTCCCCTCAGAAAATTACCTTTTGTTCATTTTCCAAAACATTGCGCTAAGGCATGTCCTGTACATAAATTACGGCTTTACAGTTGGCCGTCTATGATGAACAGGTTTGAACTTCATAAAATGTTTTTTTTTTTTTCATATTTATAATGCACTACTTTTGTAAAACGTTCAGTAAGTCTGAATAAATAAACTTTACTACATTCAGAAACAGTGTGTGGGTAGCACAGGGACTAAGTGGTTAACCCTTCCACCTAGCAGCTCTAAGGTTATTGGTTCAACCACAGCACCAACTGCCTGCAGTTTGCATGTTCTCCCTGTGCCTGCATGGGTTTACTTTAGTTTCCTCTCACACTCCAAAGACCCAGCAGGTAGGCAAATTGGCCCTAGTATGTGGATGAATGCGAGTTAGAGACCTTAGACTGTAAGCTTCTTGAGGG